ACTGGAAGGGGCAATTCAGCCCTTACTCCCCGACGTACGGTGCACCAGGGCTGCGCTCATAGAGATACGATACTGTTTGTACCCTAAACCTTCAGTTTAAATGACATTCCCTGGTTTCCCCGTTGTTTCTCAGGTTGGAAAAGTCTACGTTTACGAGGTGGATGGTCCGAGTCCGCGGCAGTGTTTGCCATGCCCCGTCTCCGTGGTTAAGGAGGACCCAGAGGAGGTCCTCCTGCCCATGCCAGATGGCTCCTTAGCCGTCCGAGCTGCTTCATTTCCCAGCAATGAGCCTTGCAGCTGCTGGTGGCAGGAGAGATGAAACGAAGCCAGTGTCTGTGTTTTAAGAAGTTCCAGTGTGTTGGGTTTCTTTTTTTTTTTTTTTTTTTTTTTTTTTTTTTTTCTTGAATAAAGATGTTTCTTGCGGTGGTGTCTCTGAATTGGTTCAGGGTGGATGCATCTCAGAAGGTAGCATTTGATTTCCTGCAGGAGATGGTGGATTGAGTTAGTGGGGGGAAAAAAAAAACGGAAGTCTGGAAGCGGAGGGATTATGGGTCTGTTGTTTTATGGTGGATTCTTGTATTGCCTTTCTATAAAGTTATGCAATTAAGGGGATGTGGAAGGAGAGAAAATTGTCTGTTTATTGGCCTTCTGCTTTCTTCGTGTGATGAAACCTTTCCTCCGTGCATTGAAAAGAGAGTAGGGTTGTTTATTCAGACAAAGCTAAGCTAAAAGGAAGTGTCCCCACATTCTGGCTTATAGAGGAACATGCAGATGTTCATCCTGTCTGGTGGCGTGGGTTTTTTGGTGGGTTGGGAGTATTTAACATATGTTTAAGATTATGGGTAGTCTTTTAAATGATTGTAGAAAGTATCCTAATGTTCCATATGAACTGGCTGCTGGGACTGGGCTAGCAACGCTTGGTTAGGTTGGGAGTGGGAGAGTGAAGTGCTGTGTGTCCCGTTTCTCCTGCCTTCTTACCCTCCCTTAAACGCCTTTGGTTTCCTTGCGTGTCACGTTGGCTTTTAATGAATTTCAAAATACCGCCTATGATATTTTAGGCTAATTTGTTCAGCATCTCGGGCGTCCTGGCTTGCGGGAAGAACACTGGAGAGTGTTATATTTCATTATTTACTGGATCCTTGCTGGTGTGCGGATGCAGAATCCACTGCTGGCACCAAGTGGCTGCAGGTGGAAGCTGCTCTGGAGGTGTTGGACTCACAAGCTGTCTGTGGTGTGTGCATAGATTTTGGGGCTGCGGTTCAGAGGGGGGTAGGACCCACACCACACCCCCATTCCCTCCCCAGTTTTCTGATGGTGGGTGTCACGTGTGGGAGCTGCTCTATCCTTCCCTGGCTGGTGCCCTGTGATGCCAGCTGAGCTATTGCCTTGGTCGTGCTTTTCCTTTCTTTAAGATATATGAAAGGGAAAAAGGCTGTCAGAGGACTTGTTTGCTTATAATAAATCTCAGTGTGCTTTGCCCTGCATCTCATCCTTGTGGGGTTTGGGTTTATTTTTTCCCCCCAGGTGACTGGAAAAATAACCTGTACAGTACCATTACATGCATGACGGCAAAGGGTCATGAGTACCTGGGAAAGGACACTATTTTTCCTGCCTCTTCAAATATCTGGGGGATTTTAACACCGAACGCTGTTCATAGACGATGCATTAAGTATTAAAAGAAGAATTACTTCAGGCTTTCCACCCTCCTTCATTTTCAAGTGGAGGTGACAGGCGAGCTGTGTTCTGTTGGCCAGGAGACATTCAAGCAGGCAGAAGAGCACAGATGTGGTACCTCTGCTCCCAGGCTGGGCGGTGGGGAAGGGGGTGTCAGGAGTAGTTGGTTTGGTTTTGTTTTATTTTTTTTTTAAAGCTGAAATCAAGATTTTTCCACTCACAAATCACTTGAAGCCAAGTTTCTTCGTGAATAAACACAATTGCTAACATATCAGAAAAAAACAGGCAGAATTCTCTCACCCAAATTTTTCTTTCTCTGCATGATCTTTAAATGACATCCTCCGCTCATCCCTTCTGTAATTAATTTAAATGTATCTGACACTAGCTCGGAGGCAAGTTTTGAACTTTCTTTACCCATCACTGTGATTTTGTTGCTTTTTCTCAGTTCAGTGGTGATTATATTTGAATTTGGAAACTGGTTGTTGACCAGCTCTTGCTTGCCAGTCCCTTTCTAGGCTGACCTTTGCAGTGAACACCGCTGTGTGGCTGTGTTTGGGAGGGCATACACTTGGCTGCCAGGAACTGGCTTTGGGCATCTGTGAGTGTTTTGGTTTAATATCAGAGGTTATCATTTTAAAGTGAGATAAACCCAGAATAAGAAGCATTAATTTCATGGCTTTCAGCCTTTTTTATTTCTTGTGAATAGTATTTGTATGGTGTTTTGACTCATCACTTCACCTGATTGACCACCCGTGGAAATTAAAAATTGGAACTTCTTGGAGCCCCCAGGGAGGGGGAATGAGTTGGTTTATTCATAGGGTTTCAAGACGATTTTGTACTTTAAAGAGACTTGTATAAATACGTTATTTTAGTTCCTTCATCTTAAGTTTGTGTTATCTTTATTTTGTCCTTTAATACAATCTCCCAACTGTGCGATAAAAGATTAAAGCTCTTTCATGTCATGCAGTGGGTCTGCTGCAGGTGAGGCTCTTGCTACTGCTGTGATGAAGACTCGGCTACGGCAGCAGGATGGGTGTTCTACTTCATTTTCAATAAACTTTGCAAGATGCCAAAAATAACTGCAAGCGTCAGCATGTTCATTGTGCTCCACGTTTCGATACTGCTGCTCAGAGCTGGTGAGATCCTTGTACTTGAATATTGGAGTTATTTTTAACAGACGTTGTAGAAAGGTTTGCCTCCAGAAGGGCTTCCCCCGCCTGCCTTGGCTCATGTCTTTGACAGATGATGCAATAGCTCTTGTTGGGTTTTATTTTCTCTGTAGTACAGAAGCATCCCCGGTGCCTGGTCTAGAGCAGATTGCCCAAACCCAGAGTTTGTGTGTTTCGTTACACCTCTCTCCATCCTTTCCTTGCATGAGTGATGGTTGAAAAAGTGCCGGTAGTACCTGCGGGGAAACTTTTGGGCCAGTACGCTTTGCTTTTGTAATGTAAAAGGATTAGTGGGTGCCAAGTGGATCAGGTAACCTCTTAGGGGAAAAGTTTGTTGTGTGGCTATTTAGATGAATCGGTCCAGCTGCAGCTTCCCCCCAAGGAAATCCCTAAAATCTTGAGGACCAGAAGCTGAGAAGGGGAATCACAGGAGAAATGTTTTTCCCCGTGGCTTATTCTCTAGCTATAAATGTTTAGTAACAGGTGCCACTGAATAAGATAACTTAATTTATCAGTTTTCAATAGTGACATTTGAGATGCAGAAGTTAGTTTGCATCAAATTTTACAAGTAATCCTGCTTAAAGCATGCTTGTCTGCCTCTCTCCCAGCTGCACTGCTGCAAACATTGATTGGAAATTACAGCTTTATTCTTAATGTACCTACTTTCCCCAGGTAATTCTTAAACCATAGGTGTGTTTTATCGTCTTTTATTTGGGAAAGTCTGAGTGAGAGGAGCTGCAGGGCTCACCGAGACCTTCTGCAGCAGCAGTGGGCCAGTTGCTTTGGAACATCTCAGGGTCACCCTGAAAATGGGAAAGAAAGAGAAAAGCTGGGCTGAAACCATGTGTTTCATCATCGTGCTCCTGTTAAGACTTCTTCAGCGTGGCGTTTGGAGAATAATCCTGCTGTCTTATCCTAAAGTTGGCACCAAGAGGCTTTGTGTGAGGCACATCAGGAAAAAAATGAAGGTGAAAAGTTTTATTTTAGTTTTTCTTTTCTGGTCTTTTTTTTTTTTTTTGCATCCTGTAGTGCAAATCTGACCACTCTCTGAATGCCTAGCTACAAAAAAACTCTGAGAAGTTGGTCCTTTTTTGTTTCCCGGTCTGCAAGACTGCAGGAAACTCTGCTGCTTGTGTTACCCTGTGGAGATGCACAGTGCCTGCTCCTTAACACAGGGCAGGGGGAGAGGACCGGCGAGCTTTTACAGGCTGACTCAAGACTTTCCTAACCGTATTCACCACTTTGAGGTTGATTTGAGATATTTGGACTCGTTTCTTATCCTTTAATAAAAGATGCTATCTTGTGCTCTGCTGAAACTTGGGATATTTGAAGGCAGTTGGTAGAAAAATACTGGTTTGTGTCTTTAGGGCTGAAATTGGGAATATTATAGTAGAAGAAAGCATCGGTGCTGCTTTTGAAACAGTACTGACTGCGCATTTTTGTGTCTCTTGGGTACTGTAAAACTTCTTTGCATTCTTCAGACATGGCAGAAAGGACTACCTCTGCTTTTTAATGAAGAACACATACTTTTCCTCCAAATGAGTTTTCCCTCTCCTTTCCCCAGCATACGAGAAGGGGAGAGGTCGGTGTTTTGTGTTGTGAGTAAACCCCAACCTCAGGATCGGATGACAGTAAAAAGTGCTGTCTCTTTTCCCAAATACTGCGTGGGCCACTCAAGCAAAAGCACAAGGTGCTTGTCCGGTTTGGAGCTGCCTCCTGCCAGCGTAGTCCATCCAAACCTCTCCAGCCCTAGCGTTTCGTGCGTTTCAAATGCAGTAGGAATCACTTGGTGTCCCACTGGGAAAAGCAGAAGTCTAGCCAATGTGCTCATAACTAAAAAATATTTACCCCCAACTTGGCATTACCATGGAAATGGTAATAGCTCATTTGCAAACAGCCTAGTTCTTACAGAGCGTAGTTAAGAGCGTCTATGTTAAAAGCGTATATAGCCAACCATGTCTGGAGCTCTGCACAGATTGAAAGCAGGGCCGGTGGATCTGCCAGCTTTCATCTCCCCACCTTGATCTCAGTTGGGTGCCTTGCTGGTTTTTTGTGTTAGCTGTGTAATGAAGAGCGGGGGAGGCAGAAATGGTTAACTCGTCGAGCAATATAATGTCAAGTCGGTGGTACTGAGTTGTTCCGTTGGAGTTTAAAAATTAATTTTGTTGTTAAATGTCATCTTCTGGCTTGTGATCAGCTATAGTCTAGGTCAGACGTTTTCTGATAAATTTGAAGGAAATCAAATAAGGGATCCTGAATGCTGAGAGCTGTGAAACCAAAGTCGGCTGAAGTTTAACATTGATGTTGAGCCACAAAGAGGTGGAGGGGAAAAGGGAAAAGATGAAATCCGCATTATTCATCTAGCGGAGACACGGTGCTCAAACCCAACTCAGGAGAATTGCTCTTCCCTCTTCCCTGCAGCAAAAGCCAGGAGAACATAAACTAGTGCTGGAGAGATGGATTAATGGAGAAGACCTTTCTCTGCTGAAGTGGGAAGTTCTGCAGGGCCCCCACAGCCACGTTTGTAAGGGTCTTGAAGGGACTTAGGACAAGAAGAACTTTCTGGGGCTGGGGAATGTGAGGTCTGGAGACCTCCATGACCCTTCCTATGCTGAATCCACCTCTAAAGGGCTTGGAGCAGAGAAGAGCTACCATGAGACTTAGTTTTTGCAGGATTTTTCTTTCCTGTTTTTTGGTGGTTTTTTTTTAACCACCATCCCCTTTTATAGCAATCATAGAAATGCTCCTACATATACTTATTTCGAAGCACACACTTGTACCTTAGCCCAGTCCTGCGCAGATTTTTGATCAATTGGACAAATTCTTTGGATGCTTATTGAGATGTCCAAGCTGGAAGCGCCTGTCAAGGACACCATAGTATTTGCTCTTGCTTTTCAGCCCATTGGAGACCCGGGGACACTAGCTTGGTTTCAAGTTAAAGTAATCATCCTGCCTTGTCAAGTCCAGCTCTACAAACGCTGTCCCTCTGCAAGATAAAACTAGGAGGGCCAGAGACGAAGACTTCTTCCAGAGGTTGTCCAAGGAATAGCACATAGGGGAAAATGTTGACTTACGGATGGGACACTGTCTTGGGGGAAGCGAATACTCAAATGCATTAGGATTTCTCCCTCAGCAGTGTTTCCTGCAATGTTCATTTTTTATTACAGTGCCTTTTTACACCCTTCCCCTGGACGGAGCTTTCCGCTGTACAATCTTGTTTTCATCTCCCTTTTTTTTGTTTTTTAATGTCCCCTTCCAGTTTGAGCGGCACGACCCGGTGGAGGGGCGGATCACGGAGCGGCAGTTTGGCAGCATGCTGCTGGCCTACAGCGGGGTCCAGTCCAAGAAGCTCACCGTCATGCTGAAGCAGCTCAAGAAGCAATTCCAAGATGGAGAGGTCAGTGGCAAATTCGGGAAGTTGCGGTGGGGGCAGCCGTCCTGCACTGAGCTAAGAAATGAGTAAGCAATCTCTGTCATCTTAAGAAAAGCACCCGCACCTCGTTAAGCAGTGCGGGGAGACACGCTGACTTTGTGGATGATAAATATTTTGCCAGCAGCAAGGAGATGGAAGAGGTGGGAGTGCAGTGGTTGGTGTCCAGATCGAGGTGTAGGCTTGTCTCTATTAAAATGGATGCTGCAATTTTCAAAATTTAAATTCGCTGAACGGCACCTTGGGTCTGGAGCCAGAATAAACATTGAAGACATGTTCCTAGTTACTGGCTCGACCTTGGATTAATTAGCTGCTGCGACTGGGCAGTTTATTATTTAGTTATTAACTTACGTGAAAAATTATTTGAATTACTCATGATTTAGAGAAGAATAAGGTTGCAGATCCTACACTTGTTAATTTAGTGAGAGACCTTGGAATAAGACATCCGTACCAAAAGGACGTGCTTTATCAGGTAAGGCAAGTATGGGCTGTTAAATTACTACAGTATTAGAATTTCACATCTGCTTCTATAAAGATGGATTGTTCTTATATTAACTAGGTTATAAACAAGCTATTCGCCCAAATGAGAAGGGATGGAAAGTCTTTGGCTGCGTATTGGGTCGGTCTGGCTGTTTTAGAGCCACTTTCCCCTGACATTAGAACTGGCATTTATTTCTCAACTCATTTAGATGCAAAGTGTGTCATAAACCACAAGTGTTGGCCAGGGTCTAGTCCTTTTTTTGTCCCTTTTTGGTGCTTGAACTGGACTCTTGCGATGTGCAGGAATCCACAGTTCACATGAAGCCACCCCAGTGACTTCCCCCCCCCTCATTTTCTCTGTCTTTCACTGGTGCTGGAGGAGAATTTGGGCGTACTGAAGCAGCAGGGTGCGTAGACTAATAGGTCCCTATTAATTGCAAATAATGCCAAAAAGTTAAAAACTGGAGGAAACTCTAAGTGGGCCAAAAGGCCATGCTCGGAGTCGTGTTCCTGCCAGAGGAGCCACGGTACCTGCAGCTTCTTGCGGCCTTGGGGTGCCAGAAAGAGTGGGGTTTTTTGCAGATTCCCTCATGTTTTGTAGGAAAACAGGCTCAATACCAAACAGGCTGTTATCAATGAATGGAGTCAACATGTCATCGGGGCTGAGACGCGCTGTGTGTTAATATTTGGAAATCTCACTTCTGAAGCTCTTTGTCGCCAGCTTAAATAAGACCATTGATGTTGCCAAGGTTGTGTGCGTTTATTTGATCTTTGAGCGAGACGCTGCAGATTTTGCCTTTTCTAATACCTCTGCTCCCTTTGAGTTTTAAGGGGAATCATTTGATTTCTCGTGGAAAAAATACTTAATAGTGATGTGTCTAACAGAAAATATCAGCTCTGCTGTTAACATTCCCAAAATGTCAATTCTTTTCCTGTGATCTGGGTTTTTTTAATAATATACATACATATATATACACACACGTATATATTATTGAACAGTAGCTGGGTGTGTGAGAAATTAGGCAGAGTTATTTTGGAAGGTTTCGTACAACAGATGTTGTCTTCCTTTCATGTGTAAGCCAAGACCCTGACATCTGTGGCAGAGGAAGAACTTTTTGTTTTTACCTTATCCCTCATCCCCGAATCTGCCAGATTGTGTTTCTATTTGCAGATAACGGTATTCAGAGCAAGTCTTTTTCTTTCTTTATTCCAAGGACTTTCAAGACGAGAAACTGGGGAATAGGACAAAAAAAAAAAAAGACATTTGCAAGCAACAAAATTGGTGGAAAACACATGATTCCTTAGGCCAGGGGGAATGGAACACCCAAAACTCTAAAACGAGATGGTCTTTTTAACAAGTACAAGATATTTAATGGTTTAAGGAGACGTAAAGGATGCAGGAAGCGCCAGGCGCTTTGCACTGGAAGCGGATAAGCCTCTCTGGCAGCCAGAGCAGCTCAAAGTCAATGCTTACAAAATTGAGAATAAAGAAATCAGGCACTGAAATCCTCCACTTCAGTAGGTTTTAACTCACGGAGAATCCAGCCGTGGTGCCTAACTCTGCGTTGTCTTTTATACAAGACAAACTTTTCTTGAAAGTTTGTGGTTGGTTTGGTTTTTCTTTTTTTTCCCCTAGGATATCTTAGAAGACCATATCCCTTGCAGATTTGTGTGCAGCACTTTGTATCTAAATACACTTACGTACTTCTATTGGAACACCCTGGTGCAGCTGTCAGTGTTTTTATGTAGCTTAAATTTCCCCGTCACTTCAGAAATGGGATGGCCGTGACCAGAATCACATTAACCACCTTTCGAGCTTTCTGCATAACTTATTCAGGGATGCGTTTGCAAAGTTTTCTTTGTAAATGGATAGAGTATTAAGCCAGAGAGTGTTCTACTCGAAACTGCAGAAGCTCGACGCTGCGTTTGCTTCTTCCTCTGTGTGTGTAACCCAGACATCTGCAGAGCGAGCAGCTGCTTGGGTCAGGCTCTGCTTTACCTCCCATCCTATAAAAGGGGAGCGGAGCCGGTGTTATCCACTGCTCTCCCTTTGGCTCCCAGACCTCAAAGAGACATTAAAGCCACCCAGCCGCTTCCTTTATCCTGCAATACTTTCCAGTCACTGAACACCTTGTAAGTCAGAGGGTTTGCGATGCAAACATGTTTTGCAGGAAGAATTTTGCTCCAAATCCCTTCTTTTCGCACTTTGGTAGCCTACTTTTGTAGCAGCGTAGTATCAGCATCTGCCTGGTTTACCAACCTGCTGTAACTCCCCTCTATGCCGAAAGCAGTAGGGGCTTTGACTTGCTATTGCTTTCCAAAGGAAGTGGGAGTAAAATAATTTTAATAGTGTGATGCTGGGAGGGGAATGGCAGTAATTGTACCAAACCCACCCGGCAAGCTTTACCTTGGAAATGCAGTTTACCTTGTGAGTGCTTTCTTGGGAAATCTGCCAAACATCATCTTCATTGTCTGACACGGTTACTTTTTCTGCACGAGGCGACCCTGGCAGCCTCCAAAATGTTAAAGCTCTGGTTTAATCTAACCTTTAGCCATTTTCCAACATCGTTATTCTATATTCCTGCTTTTGGGAATAACATGTTTCCTTGTAGCAATTGATAATCTGCTTTCATTTTTATTTGTCTTGAGGGGAAAAAAAAGCCCATTTTACCTTCGATACGTGAACTCCTCCGCATATTCAGTGGAGCTGCTACACTCTACTTTGTTTAAAATTGCTTACGATCCTCCCCCCGAGTTATACTCACACAGCTGCTTTTCTTCTAGTAAAAAGGACTCGAGTCGTCGATAGTACTTATAAGCAAGGTCTTTGGTGTTTGTCTCCCTAACCGCTAGAAAACCAAGCTGACTCTTCAGAAACTAGTGATTCGCGTTGTCTTCTACGCGTGCTTTGGGGGCTGTGGAGCATATTTTTCTGTTGGGGTGGCAGAGGGTGGGAGGGAGATGTAATTCTTCCCAGGTGAGAAGCCCTATTCTTTGCCAAGGGTGTTTGAGCTGTTGAGATGCGCGTTGCAAGCAGATAAGCCTTTCTGGAGTCTGCCTGCTTATGTATCATTAGTAATACTTAAACGATGCAAGGATTCAGGCATACGAATCGACAGCTAGATATACAAATGCCTTGAAAGAAGTGATCATCCAGATCCCATGATTGTTACTTTAGTGCTCTCCAGATATGCAATTTCTTGTGATGACAAATTAATACAAACTTCTGTTAAATGATGGAAACTTCTATTGATCTTTCAACGGAGATGCGAATAACTTATGAAGAGCTGAGCAGCGTTGACAAACGCATCGATGGGGAATAGACAAATTCCCATACTCAGACTTTTGACTGATGAAGGTGATCATTCATCTGTCAACTTGTCGGTGTAAGCCTGAGGCTGTCCCAGCCTCTGATTTTATTTTTAGTTTGGTAGCTGGAAAGGAATTAATGCTGACGCTAGCCTCAACCATAGGATTCATCAATAAAATAATAAATTTCATAATACTGATTGCATTTTTGCTAGAGATTCAGTATCTCTGTCCACATGAAAGCCCAGATTTGGAGGATACCCCCAGACATCGTTGGTTTTGCTTTTTCAGGTGGTGAAAGGACCACAAGCTTACATACGTAAGCATGTAAACCTTCCCCGGTACCCGCTGAAGCAATAGCAACTGTAGTGTTGGTACTAAACAAGAGGCAGTTTTGCACAGACAGCAATGCTGTTTGGCCTTGACATCTGCCATTTCCTGGTGGGAAATTCCAGGAAAATGCAAAGTTGGAGCTCTTCGCGTAGAATAGCAGCTGGGATGCCTTGCCGCTGCTGCTACAAAGCTCAGATGTCCCAAACAGAGCAGGTAAACCACTGCACAGTGTCTTCTGCTGGCCTGAAAGTGGCCGCGTGCCTCCTGGTTTCTGCAGGCTTTCCACATTTTTAGTGCTCTGCTCCCTGGCAGGAGCACGTCAATTGGGAAATGCATAGCAGGGGGACATCCAGATGGACATCTGAATTGCAAAGATCTTTTCTCCTCTAGGTCTGCTGTGCAAAACAGAGCAATCTTCACAGTACTTCCTATGGAAGTACCCAATATATTTATTTTTTTTGTTAGGACCGTATTTTATTTAATCCTGCCGTACATCTTTTAGCATCCCACTAGGGAAGCAGAGCAGGTATAGATTTAAAGAAAGCTCCCTGTACAGTAACTGGGGATTTATTTCAGGCCCATTGTCCATGTGTGCATTTTGCTATCTCATCCTTTTTGGTCTGGATCCACGAATCCAGGGCTGACAGAGCCTGCTGTTGCACTTCTCGGTGTGCACGCTGTGCAATTTACATCGGTGGTGCATTGTCACATACTCGGTTACAGCAAAGATAGGAACAAGCTGCAAATTTTCTGTAGTTCTTCTGCTTACAATTCTGGAGGCACCGTGTCTGTATGAGAAGATTGTAAATAAAATGTGCTTTTTCTTTCAAAAAAAGATAGGTGGCTTCTTTCCTGATTAGAAGTTGTTGGGAAGAGTTTGAGCAGGGTTACAACAGATCATATAAATTTATATTTGACTGTACCCGCTGAACTTACGCTCTTC